CCAGTAGATACAAGCCGAGATGCCCCCTGTGTCTGGAGCTAAATCTTTACCTTAAAACTGAGATTTGATCTTCAACCTGAAACCTAGAACCTCCTACAAACCCGGATGTTTCCCCATCCTAAATGCTGAATCTTGTCCCATGCTTTAAGCAGGAACTCAGAGCATCAATCCTTTTTCTTTTCTTAAAAAAACAAGTTTTACTGGATATCCATGCCTTCTGTTTTAAATCACAGTTATTTCTAGATCTCTCTCTCTTACACACACACACACACACACACACACACACACACACACACATGATAACAAAGAAAAGCAATAATTCAAAACCCATTAGCCCAGTAACTGGGTCTGATTATATGCCACCTTCTTCAGTCATGATCTCTCACTTCACTAACAAGGGAGGGTGGTTCTTCCTCCTCCCTTCTGTAGGGTCAGATTAATCATGACAGTTACTCCACATGGCTTTATTTTTGCGCCTCTTCCATTTGTATTACTATAGTCATCGTATCTATAGTTCTCTTTGTCCCTCTTGCTTTACTTTGCATCAGTTCATACAAATTTTCCCATGTTTGTACGAATTCCTCTGATTTGTCTTTTCCTATGGTGCAATAATATTCTGTTATATCCACATACCACATTGCTTTTTGTTATTCCCCAATTAACTTTGGTTCTAGTTTCTTGCTACCCTAAAGACCTGCTATATGCCTCCCACCTCTCAGCAGAGAGGGGGTGGGATACAAATACTGAATGAAGCAAACATTGTCAGATACAGTTGGCACATTTTTGTATAACTATGCTTTTTTTTTATACGAGGGAGGCTATTATTAGATGTGAGGAGTTATTTCGAAATGGCATTTTTAAAAAAGCAACATTAAAACTTCTTAATACAATTTTTTTTTAAAAAGTGCTTTTAGGAGCAGCTAGGTGGCACAGTGGATAGAGCACCGGCCCTGAAGTCAGGAGGACCTGAGTTCAAATCTGGTCTCAGACACATAACATAGTCACTAGCTATGTGACTCAGGGCCTCACCAATAAATAAATAAATAAATAAAAATAAATTTTAAAAAGGAATAGTTTGGCACATATGAGGTCTTTCTTCCCATCTCTGACTTCTTTGGAATATATGCCCCGTTGTGGGCTCTCTGGCTCAAAAGGTCCGTCATGTTCTTAGTTCTCCTGACTTCACTCTGGCTCCATTTATCGAAATCTTCTCACACTTCTCTAAATCCTCTGCATTCATCATTTCTCAGGACACAGTAATGTGACGTGACATTCATGAACCATAGTTTATTTAGCCACTTCCCAAATGACAGGCAATCACTGCATTTCCAGTTCTTTGTTACCCACAAAAAGGGCTGCTCTGGATCTTTTGGTATATATGGGGGTTACCTTCATGTCTTTGGCTTCCTTGGGGATATATGCCTAGAGTGGGATCTCTGGGTCAAAGGGAAGGGCTGGTTTAATGACTTTTTTTTGCCTAATTCCAAATTGTTTTCTAGAATGTAATCTCCCCCTCTCCCCCATCCCCCCCCCATAAACTTAGTCTTTCCTGTGGGTTAGATCTGACTCTACACCCTGTTCATTTTCTGAATGTTCCGGTCTCATGCCCTGGCCCAGCCAAGGCCTGAACCCAGCCGAAGGGGTATCATTTCCCTTCTCCTGCAGGCCCCCAACAAAGCCCTGTTCTCCATCCTTGGGAAGAGCAACCTCCGTTTTGCTGGTATGAGCATTACAATCAACATCTCCATTGATGGTCTTAACCTTATGGTGCCTACCACTCACCAGGTAAGCAGCAACCCTGGTGCCACCTGATTGCCACCCTCTGACCCACTCCATCCTCATTTCTTGCCCTTGGTTTGGGTAACAGCGATGGGGTACCAAGCCAGGTCAGGTCCACCTGCTTCCTCCTGACTCACCTGTGGGCCCAGGAAATCTCTTCCTCTCCTGGGATGGTCAGTGATCCCTGGGGGTGAAAAGTGAGAGAAGGGTAGGGTGTTATGTCTGTATGTCCATGTATGTATGTATGTATGTATGTGTGAAAGCATGCATATGTGAATAGAAGTGGGGACTAGACCTACGATTTTATTAGTATAGGGAACCCCCAGGTAAGGAAATTACTCCTATCAGTGAAGGAAAATTCCTTCATGAAAGTTCCTTTGTAACTTGTCTTACAAGAGGGATGATGAGGGGTAAAAGGTCACAAACCCAGTGTTTGTGTATGGGACTGGACATGATCCCAGGTCTGCCTGGATTTAAGATCAGCTCTCTATGTTCCATTCCCCATGCCTCTCATAAACATGTGATGAGATAAGTGTATGGATACTGACATATTCCCATCTCTATGTGTGTCTGAGTGTTTGTGAGTCTGTCTCTGAATGTCTGTGTGTCTCTGAGTGTCTGAGTATGTCTCCAAGTGTCTCACTTTGTCATCACGTCTGAGTGTGTAACCCAGCTCTTCCAGAAACACTGTATGCCTCTGGCCTTTCTTCTTCCCTTCTCAGGGGCTGTTTCCCTGTCTACTAAAGGAAGGCTTTGGGTTCCATGATCTCTAAGATCTCTTCCCATTCTGACATCCCCTGACCTGTCTCTGAATGTTTCTGTGTATGTGAGGATTTGTATCACTTGGGACGTGTCAGATTGTAGGTTTCTTTCCTGGGTTCCCCGGAAGGTTTGTGGTCTGGGAGAAGCTGAAGATTGTGGCCAGGGGTGGTTAGGGTTAGTTAACCTGCCGCCTGGCACTTGGTACGTAGTATGTGCTAAATAAATGTTTGTTGAATTGGATCAAATTAGGAACTTTTCTCCCCATCAGGCAGCTATGTGGGGTAGGGTATAGAGTGCCAGATTTGGAGTCAATCTGAATTCTGACTAGACACTAGCTATGTAACCCTGGGCAAATCAACTTAACCTTCTCTCGTCTGTAAAATGGGTATAACAATATCCTCTACCTCTCAGGACTGTTGTGAGGATCAAATGAGATAATGTTTGTCAAGTATTTTATAAACCTTAAAGTGTTATATAAATTATGATTACTATTATCAATATCCTCAGGACCTCAGGGTCCTCAACAAGGACAGGAGCAGATTTTGTTCTAGCGGGGCAGAAATTGCCCCTGAGCATGGGGCTGGGGTGAAGGAGGTGAGAGCAGGCAGAGACAAAGGCCAATGGGGAAAAAGAATAGGAATCCCAGGACAAACAACCTGGGATCCAACTGGAAGTCTGGAAGTGTGAATATAAGCAAATGCAGATTTTATGCAACGGGGACATATGTTAACCTGGAGGAGGCTTTGCATCCAGTGCTCCCAAGCACTGCCTGATGTGACCCTCCACCGCTCCACCACATGTTTTTGCATGTGAGTACACTCATGTCCCAGGGTCCCTGCACTGGAGCAGGGAGGGAGATCAGATGGAGGGAGAGGAGTAATGAGCCTGTGGCATGATGCCAAGCCCAAGAATCTGACGAGGAATGCAGTATTCCAGATGATGCTTGGAAAGGTCCTTTGGGGCTGATATCTCAGACTCCTGGCTCCTTCCCAGCTTACTGGTCTGCCCTGTCCAGGGAGGAGGGTCCCTAACCTGTCCAAGGTCCTCCCCAGGCTTTGCCCCATGGGCTTAGCTCCCTGCTTCATTGTAACCCATCTCTGCCTCTCTGCCCGGGACAGATCATCGCTAACCATCACATGCAGTCCATCTCCTTCGCCTCCGGTGGCGACACGGTAAGCCCTACCAGTGAGGGGGGAGCTGGGAGCCTTCCTCTGGGGGGCAGCTCAGCCCTAATCTTCTCCTTTCATTCCCCCCCACCCCGCTCTCTCCTCCTACCCAGGTTCTTCCCCACCTAGTCCTCTCTTCCTGTATCCCATCCCTCCCACCACAATCACTGCCTCCTTTTGCTTCTGCATCCAGCTGGACCCCTTGTTGCCAGGCAACCGCCTCACCAGCTCCCCCTACTGTTGGCCCTGGACATTGTCTTTGCTCTCTGCCAATTACATTCATCTGAAACCCCTCTCCAAACCCTGGGCCCTGTGGACCAGCCTCAGAATCCCAGGCTCCAGGGTCTGGGGTGGGGTGGGGGGCAGGAGGTCTGGCCTCTCTCACTCTGTGTACTCCCATCTATCTGTAGGACATGACGGATTATGTGGCTTATGTGGCAAAAGATCCCATTAACCAGAGAGGTAAGACAGCTCTTGGCTGGGGAGAAGGGGAGAATAGGGCATCTGGGGGATGGCTGGAGATGCCCCTGATCTTTTAAGAATGCAGACAACTTTTCCTGGGAGAGCTGGAGGGAGGTATTAAGGGGGAAAAGTGGGGACTTGAGGCTCCTGGGATCCTGCTTCATGTGACATGCTCTCTGGTCTCCTCCTCTCTGCCTTCTTCCATAGCTTGTCACATCCTGGAGTGCTGTGAAGGATTAGCCCAGAACGTCATCAGCACTGTAGGCCAAGCCTTTGAGCTGCGTTTCAAACAGTATCTCTACAGCCCCCCCAAAGTGGCCATTCCTCCTGAAAGGTAAAGGGGTCCTCATCCCCAGCCCTGGTCTGGCCTCACCTTGCTCAGAGGATGAGGCAGACATGGTGTGGGGGAAGGCGCCCCAGGTCTGAGTACTTGATCTGCCCCTGACTCACTGCCTCGGTGAGGTAGTGGGTTCTCCATTACTGGAGGTCTTCCAGGGCTGCAATGCTGATTGTCAAGAATGCCCTAAAGAGAATTCCTGTTCAGACATGGATTGAATGATATTCCCTGGGAAGTCCCTTCCAGATCTGAGATTCTGTGATTCTAAGCCCTTACTCCCTGCTGGGCATCAGTTTCCCTCTCTGTACAATGATATGGTTGGATGCAGTGACCATAAGGTCCTCTTCCTCAAGGTAACCCTTCACATTGATTCCTTTTCTGTCTAGGGATTGGTGGGTGCCTATTGTGTGCTAGCATTGTAGGAGGAGACAGAGAAGAAAGCGTGGTATGGTGGCTTCAGTGTCAGAGGCCTCGGGTTCAGATCCTATCTCTGATGCTTATTATCTGTGCTGGCCTCTTTTATTTTCTCAGACTCAGTTTCCTCTGTAAAATGAGGGCTGAGTCAGACAGCCTCTGGGGTCCCTTTCAGCTCTGACTCTCTGATGCTGTGAGTTTCTGGACCATTCCCTCACCCTACATGCAAGGCTGCTAGAATCACAGTCTGAGTTGGAACGACTTTAAAGGGCACCTGGTCCAGTTTGTCTCAGAATAGGGACCCACGCTCCAGCACCCCAAATAAGCAGTGTTCTTTTTGAAGACCATAAGGGATGGGGAGCTCACTTGCCCTGGAGGCTGCCCATTCTGTTTCTAGATGTTGTTAGAAATTTGTCCCTTACTTTGAGTTGAAATCTGCCTCTCCGTGGCGTTCCTCCTGTGAATCTTGGTTCTGTTCTCAAGGGATACGCAGAAAAAGTAGGCTCCTCTGCTGGCACTGTGGTGATGCCAAGCTCTGCCAACTGCCCCCCCAGTTCCATGGCTTCCTGGTGACTCAGCAGAGGACAGTGGACATAGCACTGTCTGAAGAGCATGCTCTCTCCCTGTTGTTGGGGGGGAGGGGTCCTAGCATCCAGGCCTCTGATGCCCCATGATGTCCTGGACCCCCTGAGATCATAGAGGATTTTAAAGGAAGCTTGCCCTACCACCCCCACCCCACCATCCCACTCCCACTTTGTTTCTGTGGCCTAGGATGATGGGGAATGAGGAATCAGCCTGGGGTGAGGAGGAGGATGCTACCGAGCACGACTATTATAACAGCATCCCTGGGAAGGAGCCGCCCCTAGGTGGCTTGGTGGACTCCCGGCTCTGGGCGCCCAGCTATGTCCACACCCAGCCACCCAGCTCTGGCGCCTTCAGCCAGGTCAGGCTGTGCCTATCTTTCCAGGGAATCTTGGGCCCCTGGGAAAGGGGCTGCCATAAGGGGTATACTCCTACAGGGCCGGGGACTCCAAAGACCCTCTCCATCTCCAGGGTGGGTAATAGGACTTCCTAGGTTCTGTCTCAGAATCCCAGTGGTATAACAGAGAAAATGGGGAGGGGTGGGGGATACATGGTCAGCCCCCCTCCCATGGATGTCAGAGCCCAGGGGGAGATATAGAAAGGGGAAGGATGTGCTTCCTACCCTGGGAAGCCACTGATTTGAGGGAGAGATATGGTTCTTGTCCTTGGGGAACTTCCAGTCTGAAGAAGGGATGAAGGCATTAGAAGCAGCAAAGAAATCTGTCTGGGGCTGTAGCTGGAAGGGCCAGACTGGGAAGGCTGGAAGGGATAGAGAGCAGGGTAGGGCTACAGGGGACAGGGTTGAGAGAAGGATTAGGAGAAGGTGAGGAAGGGAATGCTGATTGGCAATTTTGCTTCCTAGGTTGGGTCACCTGCCCGGAGAGAGCAACGGAGTCAAGCTGGCCTGCACTGGGACTTGAGCCTCCCTGGTATGAGTCTCCCTGAGAGGAAACATGCTGTGATTGGGGAGAGAGGATCCTGATGGGCTGAGTGCCAATATTAGTCAGGATCGGCCATGACTGCCTTCCTGACACCCTACCTCTGCTGGCAGCCTGCCCCCCAACCCTTCGGAGTCACACTTTGGGTTCCCTATCCCCTACCCTTCCCTACTGCTTTTTATCCACCTTCCTCCCTCCTGCTTGCCCTTCCTTCCTTCCTCCCTCCCTCCTTTCCTCCCTTCCTTCCTCTCTCTCACTGTCCCTTTCTTCCTCTCTCTCACCCTTCCTTCCTTCCTCCTGCCTTTCTTTCCTTCCTTCCTCCCTCTGTCCTGCTCCCCCTTCCTTCCTCCTGCCCTTCCTCCTGCCCTTCCTTCCTTCCTTCCTTCCTTCCTTCCTTCCTTCCTCCCTCCCTCCCTTCCTTTCTCCTTTCCTCTCTCCCTCTTTCCTTCCTTCTATTTTCTAATAAAATGAACAAACATTTATTAAGTTCCTACTATGCCTGAGGGGGCTGTGCTAAGGATACAAAATGACAAATAACATGTTTATAGCCCTCATGGAATTTACAATCTATTGGGGGGGGGCGGTGGGAGGGAGATGCTATTCATAGATAAACTTCATACAATGTATAATGTGACAAGGACCAAGAGACAGCCAGACAATGCTCTCCAGGCAAACCTGAGGAAGGGGAGACCATTTTTAGGTGGGTGTGGGATGAGGTGAGGGTTAGGGGATGGGGGAAGGGGAGGAAGAGATAGATTTTTTGGAGATTTATGGAAGAGGTGACACCTGAGCTGGGACTTGATAGAAAAGATTTTCAACCTTCAGGTGGGAGTGGGGAGGGAGTGCTTTCCAAGCATGGGTACAGTATGGCTAATGCAGAGGTGTGGAGTTAGGAGATGGTAGAATGAAATTAGGGAACAACATATTATACAATTTATAGAATGCATGAAACTAGAAAGGGAGGTTGTGTGAGGCTTTGGATAGCAAGCTAAGTTTTCTCTCTTCAGCATTGGCTTCAAAGTCTGAGGGTCTGGGTTCAAATGCTGCCTCTATCCTTGTGACCTTCAGCAAGTTATTAATCTCTCTATAAAATGAGGGGGTTGACATAAGGTCACTGGGGTCCCTTCCACCTTTAATCTATGATCCCCTCACTTCCCTCTCTCCTTTCCTTTTTCTCCTCCTGCCCTTCCCCCAAATTCCAAAGAATAATTATAACCCAAAACCGGTCCAATTATCCAGGGGAAATTAGGGGGCTGGCCCTGCCCACCTCTCCTGATTATTCCTCCCACCCTCACCCACCAATCTCAATCTTTCTCATCGTACCTCTCAGCCCTGCTTCCTCTCCCTGGGTAGCCTGGCTCTGCTAAGCCCCTCTGCACCCCCCTTTCTCAGGCCAGCCCTGTGATGACGGTTACCTGCAGGCAGACAGCCGGCCCCTGGGCTCCCGGAACTATGAGGAGCACATGTATGTGAACACACAGAACCTGGAGAGCTGGGAGACGGAGCCTGCTGCCCCGGAGGAGAGCCCCAAGAAGGACCTTTTTGATATGAGTATGATGGCAGAAGGAAGGGAGGCAAGACCTTGTCCTCAGAGAGCTCCTAATCTGAAAGCTCAATATGGCCTCTAGCCTGGAGATGGGGGGGCTCCAGTCTAATAGGCAGGAATAGTCCCTCCCCTCAAAGAACTCCCAGTAGGAAGGAGATTCCCAGCTGTGCCCTCAGGGAGCCCTTAGAGGAAGACACAGAGCCTCTGCTCTCGGGGAGTCCCTGGTGTGAAGGGGATGACAGTCAGCACTCTGGGATCATCTAGGCTGGGAGGGAAGACCTGATGGCTCTATTCAGCCTGGTCTAATGGGAGGAACATTGAGCTGAAGGCTGAAGGCCTGGGTTTAAATCCTGATTCTGCCACTTACTGTTAGCTGTGTGACTTTGGGCAGGTCTCGGGGTCTAATTTTCCTCCTCAATAAAATGAGAGAGGGGGGCCTGAAGGAACCCCAGGATCCTTTCCCACTCTAAAAGCCTATGGTCCTTTAATCTGACATGGTTGGATACTCTGCTCTGAAGGAGAAGTAAATTTACAAAGTCTTTTTCTCATCATTTCTCTCATCCATGTCTCAAAAAAGTCCCATGTGGGAGGTGACCCCAAGATTACCCACTCCCACTTCATAATTGAGGTAACCTAGGCCCCCTTGGCGAGGTACACAGTATGTTAGCGAGTGGCAGAGTCCAGACTTGAGCCCCAGGTCTCTTGGGATTGTAGGGCCCTTTGAAGATGCTCTGAAATTGCACGAGTGCTCAGTGGCCAGCAGCGGTCCCATCCCCATCGAGGACCAGTGGCCCAGCCCACCCACTCGCCGAGCTCCCATCGCCCCAACAGAGGAGCAGCTCCGCCGAGAACCCTGGTACCACGGCAAGATGAGCCGGCGGGCAGCGGAGAAGCTGCTTAGGGCTGATGGGGACTTCCTGGTGCGGGATAGCGTCACGAACCCTGGACAGTACGTTCTCACAGGCATGCACGGTGGACAGCCCAAACACCTGCTCCTGGTGGACCCTGAGGGCGTGGTAAGGAGGCCAGAAGAGACTAGCACCCACAGACATCAGAGCTGGGGGTGGGGGAACACAGAACATTAAGCCTTAAAGCTGGGAGGGGATTTGGGAACTAGCTAAAAGAGACCATAGAAATCACCCAGGCTATTCCAGTTGAATACATCAACAAGCATTTATTGAGCACCTACTGTGTGTCAGGCACTGCCCTAGACACTAGAGATATAAAGACAAAAATGAAACAGTCCTTGGCTTCAAGAAGAGAGAGGAAGAGTGGGAGGGAGGGGGGAACAGAGAGAGAGAGAGAGAGAGAGAGAGAGAGAGAGAGAGAGAGAAAGAGGGGGAGAGAGAGGAGGGAGATAGGAAGAAAAAGAGGAAGAGAGAAAGAGAGGGAGGGAGGAGGAAGGGAGAGAGAGAGAAAAAGAGATGGTTAGAAAGAGAGAAAGACAGAAAGGCACAAAGATAGAGCTATAGATGCATAGGCAAAGAAAAAGCATGTATCCCAGGGAGCATATATTCCATCAGACAACATACAGACACACAAGTATATTCAAAATAAATACGTGACAATTTTACAGAAAGGGGTGGGGTGGAAAGGGAGCTAAGGGGAGTCAAAAGAAGACTAGACGACCTTTAAGATTCCTTCCATCTCTGAAATTCTGTGGGAGGGGCCTTAGAACACAGGATGTCACCTCTGGAAGGGACCTTAGAATACAGAATGTCAGAGCCGGGAGGCACCTTACAGAGCATCCTGTCCAAATGGAGGAAATGTGACACAGAGAAGGAGAAGGCTCACTTGTGATCACACAGTGAGTCAGTAGTAGAAGAGAGACTACAAGTGAGGCCTCCTGGTTTGGTCTGCCTGACCATACTTCTTCCAGAAGTACAATACAAGGGCACTTTCAGATCTCACTGGGCCTGGACAGATGCATCTTGTGCCCTTACTATGGGGTCATATCCCCTAGTCTAAAGGTACCTACTGTCTGCTCTAACTAATTGGGTGTTCAGCTGGTAGCTTCTGAACTGCAGTCGGAAAGGTGTGCAGTATATGTATGTGCGTGGGGGTGTCTGTCTTGGGAGCAAGAGGAATGTGTCCAAATTTTCTAATCCAAGACAGAAAGGGCATTTCCTTTTGTATCGTAGCCCAGAAGGCAGATCCCAAAGGCTAGACCTCTCTCTCTTTCAGGTTCTCCCCCCTGCCTGTTCTACCCCCTAACCAGGATTTCCTTCCCCCTCCCTGATCAGTTTCCTCTGTGCTGCAGGTACGGACCAAGGATGTGCTGTTTGAGAGCATCAGCCACCTTATTGATTACCATCTGCAGAATGGACAGCCCATCCTGGCCGCTGAGAGTGAACTGCACCTGCGTGATGTGGTGAAGCGAGAACCCTGACCTGGCCTAGGCATGTGTCCCAGGGAAAGGGTGCTGTCTGCTTTCCAGGGGTCCCTAGGACTGGGCTGTCTAAAGAGGGATAGAGAGGCCAGGCTACAAGTGTCCTTTCCCTCAACCATTCCTCACATGTACTGCATCATAGAACGTAGAACATAAGATATTAGAGATGAGAAGGCCCTGTGAACACAAAATGTCACAGCTGGGAGAGCCCTTAAAACACAGAATGTCACAGCTGGGTGAGTCCTTAGAACATGGAATGTCAGAGCTGGGAGAGTCCTTAGAACATGGAATGTCAGAGCTAGGAGGGCCTTTAGAACATGGAATGTCTGAGTTGGGAAGGTAGACTTTCAGAACCGTAATCTTGGGTGGGCAGAAGCTATATGCTCCTGCCCTCCGTGGCCCTCACTTTCTTCATTTGTAAGATGAAGGGGCTGGACTCGGGCTCCCTAAGGTTCCTCCCAGCTCTGACAGCGTGTGTTCTAGGATCCCTTTCAGTCTAGACGTTCAGCATTCTAGGGTCCCCTCTTGTTCTGGAGTGCAATGGTTCCTCTCCTTTCGCTGTCCCCAGTTCCCAGGTGGCTCCTTCTCCATCTGCTGCCTGTCCTAACCCTTAAAGGCCCCAGCTTTGGGCTGACCTTCTTTCGCTCTTGGATGCGTGTGTCTCTGCCCAGCACCGAGCCTGGAGTTGCTGCTGTCACTGCTCACCTTCTGAGTGAAGGACTGGCTGCTGCTTCTCCCCAGGCCCAGGGGGACGGGCCAATCTGGGTCTCTGGGAGCCCCAGCCCCCCTTCCCTGCCTTCATTCACCTGGCGTGAATGTGTTCATACCAAAGATGAAACTTTTTCTGACTTTTTTTTAAACAAACAAATAATAATAACAAAATGATGGATGACTTCCAAACTGGTAACCTCATTCTCATTCTCCATAGGGAGGCAGACACGATGCTGCCCACTTCTTGACTGGAGCCTGGGTTCCCCAGCTGTAAAATGTGGGTGCACCATTCCTGGGGGGTAGGGAGGTCAAGTTAAGGTGCTTGGAGATCCCCAAGCTGGATGGGGGTAGGGTCAGAACAAAGGCGAGGATTGGAATAGAATGACAGTAGGACCCAAGATCTCTGGTCCTGCTCTTGCCCAGACCACCCCCTTCTCTTCCCTACCTCCCCTCCCCCACCACTCAGGAACACTAATGTATGAGCTTTGGTGGGACAATCTCTTATGCTCATTAGGGGAAAGGGAGCCATATGCTATAGAACCCAGAGCTGGAATGGATGCTAGTAATGAGCTGGTCTGAAGCTCTGATAACCCATGGGAAGGCAACTTGGCATTTGGGAGGCGGAGCCTTCTGCTCCTCCATTTCCCTCACTCTCCATCTTCCTTACAGGCCCTGTTAACTCATTATAAGTTCAGGTACCAGAGGATTCAGGGATGCAGGGAAGAAGGTCTCCCAACGTCCAGAACTCTAGGGCCTTTCATCTCAGAGCAGCCATCGTGGTCATTAAGTCTAGATACCCATTTTACTGATGGGTAATAAACCAATACGCAAAGAGGGAAAGAGGTTTGCCCAGGTCCACACAACAATGGCAGCAGATCAGGGCAGGAGAAGGTGGGCTTGATTGCCCAGAGATTCTAACAATGGCCATTACACACTACTTCCTTCCCCAGTACTCCAGTCAATGACCACATTTCTTTCCCTCCAGTTACCTCTCCCTATATTTGGCATTCAGAACCTGTTTATAATTAAATCTGGGAGTGACCAAATGATTTGGCTCATTTACACCGAGCTGCCCAGTCTTGAAAGAAGCTTCCCCTTCCCTTCCCACCCCAGGAGCTGGAGCTGCGGGTCCTGGAGTATGGCGGCCCCAACCCAAGAGCTTTCTTCTCTAAACCTCTCCCAGGCCCACCCACCCCCAAACCTCCAGAGGAGGAGGACAACTGCAGGCTGGGAGGGCCCCTGCACCATTTCTATAGGCCAGTGATTTCATTGGTGTAAGGAGCTGCCAATGAGGAACCTCTACCAATGCAGGCCAGTCCTTTCTCTGCACCCTTCTCTCACAGAGTTGCCTATACCGATAGTGTCAAACTGAGATAGAAATAGGGGCCACTAAACCAAAAACTGGGATCTCTGCTGGCTGAACACTGACTTAGGAAACTACATAGTAACATTATCTACATTCTATTGTATTTTAATTTATTTTGTTAAATATTTCCCAATTGCATTTTCATCTGGATCCTGCTGCACTGGGCGATGTTGTGGGGTGCACCCCACTGGCCTATGGCACTGAGGGACTATACAAGGTGCCTGGGAACACACCAGTATGTCTTAGAGGCAGGATTTGAAACCAGGTCTTCTGGGCCCCAAGAATGGCTTTCTCTCCATCTTACTGTGCTGTCTCTACTTCTAGAAGCCTTGCAGTTCACAAATCATGCTGCTGGGAGGGTGGGTAAGCTAACAATTTTTATGCCCATTTTACAGATGGGGATAAATGAAACTCAAAAGGAAGAAATTTCTTCCTCCAGATTACAGAGTACTGAGCCCAGATCTTCTGACTCCCAAGTTCTGGGAGCTTTTCAGTGCAATAAATCACCTGTGGAGATCTTGACTCAGAGGGCTTCTCTCTCAGGGAAAAGCATCCTTCAAAAATCTCCCCAGTTAGTTTTCACGGGGAATCATCCATGGGCCTAATTTCTCTCTCAAGGACGCCTTGAACTTTTCTCTTACACTCCCAACTTCTCCCCAAGAGATACTCCCAATTTCTCTCCCAAAAACCTTTCCCAACTTCCAAGAGGTGCTAACTTTTCTCCTTGTTGTTATTCAGTTGTATCTGACTCTTTGTGACTCTGTGGATTCACATTTGAACTCAGGTCCTCCTGACTCGAAGCCCAGTACTCTATCCACTGCGCCACCTAGCTGCCTCAATTTTTCTCCTAGACTACCCCAATTTTAAGACTCTTTCAAAGAAAGGTCCTCCTATTTCTCTTCAGAGACATCCCAAGTTTTCTCTCAGAGTCTCCCAAATTCTTTCCCAAAGACTTCCAACTTCCAAAAGATATTCCAACTTTTCTCTCAGGCTCCCCATCTTCTCTCTAGGACACTTCAACTTTTCTTCCAAAAAACTAACTTCGCAGAAAGTGCATCCCTCTCCTAGGACATCCCCAGTTTTCTCCCAAAGAGTTCTCCAACTTCTTACCCAAGGCTATTCCAAATTCTCTCCCAACTTTTCCTCTCGTCCTCTTCCTCCATAAGAGGTAGCCTAGTGTTGTGAATAGAGAACTGGCTATGAAGCCAGAAAGACCTGGGTTCAGATCCTGCCTCTGATAAATATGAGTACTTCACTTAAACTTTCAATGCCCTGGGTCAGAGGTATCAAACACACTGTGGTGGGATGCAGTCTACAATACTTTCCTGCAGCCTGAACCAGATTAAAATGTAAGTGGGAAATATTTAACAATATAAGTAAAAAGACAATAAAACATAGAGAACATCACATTCCAAATCTAAGTCAATATGTGGCTGCAGGGATACTTATGTGTTTCTGTTTGAGGTTGACACCACTGCTGTGGGTGACTTTCTAAGACTTTCTAAGCTGTGAGAGAAGGTGCCCACCTGTATTAGTAGGAATTTCCTTACCTGGAGAATGAAATCAGCCAGGCCACCTTCTCCTCTCCATCTCCAATCCCACCATTCAAGGCTACTTGAGCCCAGCTGACCTCAGTATGCTGGAGCCTCCACCCTAATACCTATTGTCTAGCATTGGTTGGATTAGAACTCAGATTGGCTCTCCCCACCCACCCCTGTACTGCTTCTACCACCTCCCCCAGGTATGCTACAAGTCCAAGGCCTGGAGCAGCATGCCTAGCCCTACCAGCCAGCCACAGGTCAGCTGGGAGAGAGAAGGGAGAGGTGGGCTTGGTCTCCTGGCAGTGGGAACACCTCCTGTTTATTGAAGGAAGTCTAACAAAGCAGCAGTGTCTTAGCCCCAGCACTTACCCAAGGCATCATAGGCCAAAAACTGCTTTTAAAAAAAAAATCCCAGCTGTCTGGGTGGTGAAAAGGAGGATGGAGGCCCAAAGCCCTTTGAGCTTAGAAAAGGAGTAGCAGAGATGGCCCACCACTTGCCCCTCCAAGGCCAGGTCACCAGTAAACTAATTTGATGGAGGGGGAAAACTACAGCATCTAAGTAGAACTGATTCACCCAAGGATTCCCCTTGGATACAACCATGGAGCTGTGGGAGAAAATACAGTTTAAGTCCCTTATTAGAAAGAAGAAGAAATCCAGGCCTATAGAGGAAAAGTCATACTGAGAATAAGGATGAAGCTGAGGTTCTAACTCAGGTCATATGACATGAATTCAGGACTTCCCTAATTACACCAGGATGGATCTGATTCAATTCTAGAAGGTCTGAGATGCTCTCTCTGGACCTCAGACCAGCCACCAGACCTTAGTCTTCTGGGAAGGCTCTCAGGAGTGTCCCCTGCCACATTCCAGGCTCCTGTCTGGTCTAGGCTTATTGTCCGGCTGGAGGCGTGAAGCTGGCGCAAAGCCCTGGGGAATTTGTTCAGCTAGTTCGACGTCTGGCTCAGGAATTATCGTTCCACATCGGTTGGACCTCTTTATTTTCCCTTCCCTTTGTGGAGAATGATGCCTCAAACCAGCACAACTTGGCCAATTCTTTCCTCCCTCAACTCCTCCTCTGGCTCCTGTCTGGAAAACAAATTGGATAGGAATTCCCCCAAGACCAAGGAGCCCCTGCGCCCTCATTTGAACTTCTCCTTTCCCTCAGGACTCGCCAGACTGGTCCTAGGGCTCAGGCCAGGATTGGTCCTTTAAAGGGAAAAAAACCCTGAGGCCATGTGCTAGCACCCTGAAGGGAGCCAATCACTCCCAGTCCTCTGCCTGGGGAGCCTTAGAAGATGTCAGATTTCAGGACTTTAGAACACAGTGATAGGAAGGAACCTTAGAACATAGAATACTGAGGCTAGAAAGAATCTCAGCACACAGAATGTTAGAGTTGGAAGGGACCTTTGAACATGGTATATACATAAGTATAAGGGCTAAGAAAACCTGGCCCTAGTAATGAGAGTGACCCCAGGGTGACAGCCTGTGGGTGAAAGGAGGAAGGAAGGTTTAAAAAATAAAAAGCCGTGATGCCTCCTAGCTGGTTAGCATTAGTGAAGTAGGTAAACAAGGCAGATCCCAGAAGTCAACAAAACCTTCTGGCTCCTGAATCACTTTAGCTACTGGCCTGGAGGTTCCCTGGCGCTCCCATCAAGAACTTGGCTCCCAGAGCTCCACCAAAGGGGCAGTCACACGATGATACAGTGGAAAGTAGGATAGGTGGCTCTGGATTTAAAAGGCTTGGATCCCAATCCTGGCTCTGGTAGCTACTACCTCGGCCAAGTCACTTAACATCTACAGATCTCAGCTTCCTCATCTATTTAAGGAGGGGTTTGAAGAAGGCTACTTCTTCCATTCCTTCCAGCTTTTAATCGATGCTCCTATGACCCTGAACAAGTCCCATCCTTGCTTTGGGCTCTGTTTCTCTTTCTGTAAAACAAGGACATTTAATTTAAAAACAAACAAGCCAAGGGTAGTCTGTAAAACCTCTTCTAATGTTCTAAAGTTCCTTCCAGCTATGACAGTCTGTGTTCTAAAGTTCCTTCTAGCTCTGGCATTCCAGTGATCAAGCAATAAATATTTATTAAGTACCAACTGTGTACCAGGAACTAGGCTAGGCACTGTTCTAAGGTCCTTTCCAATTCAATTTTTAAGAAACCATTAAGTGCCCCAAACTGTGTTGGACCTTCTTCCAAGTGCCCTTTTAGCTATAAGCAGGGTTCTAAGGTCCTCTGAGCTATAATATACTCCTTTTGAATTCTGAAGGCCTTTCTCATTCAAGTCAACAAACATTTATTCAACACCTCCTATGTGCAAGCTGTGCTAGGTGCTGGAAATACACAGACAAAAAAAAAAGGTACGGGGAACAGTCTACCCTTAAGGAATTTACATTCTACTGGGGTGGAAGCAATGGATGAGTAAATCTCCAGATACCTTGAGAAGGGAACAAACTCTAACACATGGGGGATCAGAGGAAGTTTTACATGGGAAGTAGGTACCTGAAACAGCCCCTGAAGGCCAAGAAGGGTTCTCTGAAGCAGATATGAGATAATGCCTTCCAGGCAAGAAGAGAGAAAAGCTCGAACACACAGCCCAGAGATGGAGTTCGGAGTTCAGAGGGCAGTTTGCAGCCTAGCTTGTGAAGGGCAGCAATGTGAGACAAGGCTGAGGAAGGTCGTAGGCTCACTGTATCCTGCTGCCGGGGAAGGGAGGACAGAGGCAGACTATGGGAGGCTTTTGATACCAGCCCAAGTGGTTATATTATCCCAGAGACCAGTGGGGGGTCATGGTATCAAAGGTTTCCAGCCGGAAGGAGCTTCAGAAGTGGCTAGTTCAACAATATGAGGACACTGAGGCCTGGGGAGGTGTGGTGACTGGGTCACATGGGTAATGAGCATATAAAGCAGGATGTGGGACCAGGTCCTGAGACCCTATTATTTTTACTGTACCAGTTGCTTCCTGAAGAGAACCAAAAGGGAAGGGTCTTGGAACAGGAAAGTGCTGAGGTCCCCTGTCATAGTCTACATTCTTAGGTCGATTATGGATTTCAGTATTTTATTTTCTAACTTCCCTCTAAGCCATGATTCAGATTCTAGTCTATGACTCTGAAATAGAGTATGTATGGGAGAATGGCAGTGGGGTGATGGTGGTCTTATGAAGGTGGGTTACCTGGAGATGGGATGGATAATAGGATCTTAGGGTCATGGATTTAGAACTAGGAAGGATCATCTTCTTTTGTTATTCTTTAGTCATTTTCAGTCGAGCCTGATTCTCCATGACTCCATTTGGGGTTTTCTTGGCAGAGATACTGGAATGGCTTGCCATTTCTTTCTCCAGCTCATTTTACAGATAAGGAACTGAGGCAAACAGGATGAAGTGACTTGCCCAGGGTCACACAGCTAGTAAGTGTCTGAGGCCCGATCTGAACTCAGGAAAAGGAATGTTCCTGACTCCAGGCCCACTCTATCCACTTCATCACCTGGCTGCCCAGAAAGGGCCTTAAGGGTCATCAAGTCTAACCCCCTCATTTTGCAGGGGGAAAAGATTTGCACAAGTAAGACACTGCAGAGTAAAAATAACAACTTCCCATTTTCATGGACCCCTGCAGTTCACAGCTTTACCGGCAGCCTCAAGGTGAAGCAGGGAGTACAAATACCTTTTGTCCACTTTTTACATAGATGGAAACTGAGGTTCAGAGAGCAGAGATTTGTCTAAAGATCAGGGCTGGGGACTGGGACTCCAACTTCTGGCTTTTCCAGACCACCACACCAAGGGTACTCCTTCCACCCTCCACTGCCTCAGTGTTCCAGCCTGCACAGCTTGGCGTTTGGGAGCAGCGGCCTCAACCTGGCCGATGACACCCCCTCCCCCGGGGCCCCTCCTGTTGCCTTTTAACTAGCCTTTAAAGCAGCCTCTTGGCAGCCACTCGACATCTCCAGCAGCAGGTACTCGAGCTCAAGGACCTGGCCTCCTCGCCTCTCTCCCTCCTCTCTCGAATGCCCTGGCTCCCAGACCCAACGCTCCGACGAACAGGAGGTGTGTAGGGGGCTAAGGCCCGATAGACTCCAGCTTCTCTCCCACCCGGCAGGGCGTGATGGGGCGGGGCTGTCTGGTGGGGGTCCAGCCCCGGAGGTTGAGATGTCCCGAAATCGGATCTTCCAGCCTCGCCCTCGGATCTGGGATGGGGCGGGTCCAATCCAACGGCACAACTCCCCCCCTTCCCGCTCGCCCCCCCCCCCCCCCTCCCCCGCTTCGAGGCAGCCAAGGCGGATCCCTGCGGGTCTGGGAAGATGAGCGAGGAGAAGGGGAGAGGAAGGCAAGGTTGAGGTCGGCCTAAGAGATGGGCCTGGACTTGGGGGTGCGGTGGGGGTAGGGAGGGCCTCCCATCTCCTTCAGCTCCTCGACCGTGACCAACGAGGTAGAGGTCCTTGGCCAGTAGTCAGGAGAACTGGGTTCTAGCAACAGCTTTGGCCCTTTCCCCACCCTGGGCCATGGTTTCCCCATTCGTAAAAAGTAGTTCGGCTAGATCGTTTCTAGGGTCGTTTTCAGTTGTGGACATTCAGTTTTTTAAAGTCCCTTCCAGCTCTAATATTCTACGTTATGGGATCTCTAAGCGCCCTTCCATCTGACATCCAAAAATTCTACCAGGAAGGATGCCTTTCATCTCATTGGAGGGCAGAAACAGAGGGTCAGTGGCTCAGGCCAGGGTAGCCCTCTCTGGGTGGTGCACCCCCGGATCATTCCTCACCCTCCACCCCCGAGATCTTGGGAGGAGGCCTGGTCTTGGGAGATAAGTGTGGTGCCGCAGTCTCGGATTAACTCCAGTTAATAGGGCGCCCCCACCAAGCCCACCTCAGTTCCTAGCCCACCGCCCCCACCGGCTCTCTGTCCTCGCAAGGCTCCTTCTGGGGGTCCTACCGTGAATTTGGGGGTGGGGCAGAAGTCTTGAGCCACTTCTCCATTCTTGCCCCCACTTTATGTCCGTGCAGGAGACTTCTGGGCTTAGGTGGGGGTAGGAGCCCGGGGTTGGGGGGGGGAATCCAGTGGCGGCGCTACTCGGAGTATTACGGCGGCGGCGGCCGGGCTGGGCGGCTTCCTGCGGCCGCGGTGAATGAGTCCGACTGCGCTGCTGCCGCCGCCTCCAGTATATAAGCCACTGCAAGTGCGGTCGCCAGCCCAGTGCCAGTTCGGGAGCCGTGTATCTTTCCTTCGTTTTCTCCCTGCGTCCTCGGTCCTTGCCGGTCCGGGACATCCCTCTCCTTCTGAGCAGGTAGGCAGGTGTCGACTCCACAGGGGTCTGGGGGGGTCCCCATCTTCCTGTGCTCTGCACCCCGAGTCTTTCCTCTGCTCCATTCGGGAGGCCAGAAGCAGGTGCGATAGGACAGCTGGATCCCCCATCTTCCGGGACCAGAAAAAGGGAGGGAGCTACAGGTGGAAACTTACCCTGGGTGGGGGGAGGGAGGATAGTGTGTAAGAAGGACAGGGCCTGGGCTCTCCCCGGCTCCTTTGCTAGCCCCTCCCAGCCCTTCTCCCCGTAGTGAGCCTGGATTATAGACCCAGAGGAGTGCTTTGAGATCCCCGCAAGTACCATGCAGGGAGCAGGAACAGTATGCCCTGCAAGGGTCTTTCTCATTCCTTTGTCGCAGAGACGGACCCCAAGGGCCCTCATCCCTTGGGATATGTGCTTATAGCCCTAAAGGAGTGCTTTGAGATCCCAACTCAGCAGGGAGCCCAGAGTAGCAACTGTCGTCCCCATTACCTGGGTACCTAGGGATGTAAATGTATAGCACTGAAGGAGTGCTTGGAGATCCTAGCACAGAAGGGTGCCCCGAGCTTGGAGGGCAAACCCAAAGGGTCCTTAGTACCCGTCCAACCCAGATCCGGGATGCAAGGAGCCCTCAGGTCCCTTCCACAGGGTTTTGAGCTTATAGCATTAAAGGTGTGCTTTGAGATCCCAGCCTAGGAGAGGGGCAGAGCAGGGATATTGTTCTCCTTCCCCGAGTATAGACTGTTTAGGCCCAAAGAACTTTAAGGATGTGAATTCAATGCTTTGAGATCCCAGAACAGCCACAGTGTTGTCCCAAGACCTGCCCTATCCTCTGGCCACAGAGTGGAGTACCCCATAAGCCTCTGAATGCCTTTCCCAATTATGTGAGCACATAGTGCCTGGAAAATCCCTGGTTTAGCAGGGGAAGGAACTTCTCATCTCTCTCCCTAGGAAGCAGTCTTCTGGATTTGTCAAACCTCCTAGAAGATAGACCTGGAGTCCAGGGCCATGGTTTCTTTATCTTCTTATCTCTTCCTCCTCCCATCAGTATCTCCCAACCCTTGGGGTGCCTGAGGATGCCCAAAGTCAAGTGTTTCTCCTGCTCTGTGTGTGTGTGTGTGTGTGTGTGTGTGTGTGTGTGTGTGTGTGTGTGTGCAGGGGAGACAGCCTCTTGTGGCCGGGGATCCTATGATACCAAGGCAGGAAATGAACCCTTGGGAATGGATGCCAGGAGAGAAGGCAGGAGAAGAGAGATCTTCAAGTGGCCATGTACACAGGGAAGGAAGGGCAAGGTCTGGGTGCTGCCAAGTTGTCTGACAGCCTCCTAGTCCCTTCCTGATTCAGAAGGTAGTGATGAGATTATAGATTCAGAGCTGGAAAGGACCTTCGGTACAACCCAGTTTATCATCCCTGTTTTATAGATGAAGATGGGGAGGTTTAGAGCCATTAAGTGACTTACCCAGAGTCCCACAAGTAGGAAGTGTCAGAAGCAGGATTTGAACCACCCAGATCTGCCTGAGTCCAAGTTCAGCGCACTCCTACTATGTTACTACTCTAGGTACTCTTGATCTGTGTTCCCTGTGCTGCGCCTGCTCCCATCCTGACTTCTCTGGCCTCTATTTGTCTGGTCTTACAGCAATTTCTGGTGCTGCCACCTGTCTCCATCGCCCCCAGTGCCATCCCCATGAAGAAAACCAACATGTGGCTGTTGGATCGGCTGAGAGGGTCTGGGGAGAACGGTGCCTCGCGGGGGGCAGATGGGGACCGGTCCTCCAAGGGGCCCCTCTACAGCAATGTGCTCACCCCAGATAAGATCCCTGATTTCTTCATTCCTCCAAAGCTTACCTCAGGGCCCGGGGAGGTGGAGGGAGCAGCCACGGGTTCGGGCTCAGGCTCCAGCTCCCCACACTTAGGATCATCAACCTCTGAACAGAACTTGGCCTCTGGCAGCAGCGGGGCCCGAAAGGCCCAGCGAAGCCCCCGTTTGCCGGCCAAGCTAGCAGCTGAGAGTAAGAACCTGTTGAAGGCAGCCAGCCGACACGTGATCCAGATTGAGACTGCTGAGGACTGGCGGCCGGAGGAAGAGGAGGAGGCTGTGGCCACCAATGCCGATCCCCAGTCCCAAACTGCCATGTCCTTGCCCTATGTACCCAAGGCCCAGACATCCTACGGGTTTGCCACTCTGATGGAGAGCCCCCACACCCGACGCAAGGAATCACTGTTCCACAGCGAGCACACTGGCCTGGCCCAGGCTGGATCCCCTGGCGCCCTTCGGAGAGCCGGAGCCAAGGCCAATGGTGAGGGCACCTCCCGGGCCGAGGCCCTGATGAGCCCCTACCGATACTTCAGTGGAGGTGAGAGCGACACAGGATCTTCGGCTGAGTCGTCCCCCTTTGGGTCGCCCCTGCTTTCACGCTCTGTGTCTCTACTCAAGGTTTTTGCCCAGGATGGGCAGGCCAAGGTGAGCCAGCTGAGGCACTCTGTGGGTCGCCACAGCTCCTTGTCCACAGATGACAGCTCTGCTGACGTCAGCCCCAGTGCCCGCCGCCGTGCCCGCCGTGCTACCCCAACAGGCTCAGAGGCCAGCAGTGAGACTGCCCCAACCCCTCGGGGTGAGCACACGGTGCGCCTGGGTAAACGAGGGAGCCTTCGCCTGGCAGCCGAGTATGACCCGGCCCAGGCCCGCCTCCGGGTAAGGCTGCTAGCCGCCGAGGGTCTCTATGACCGTCTCTTCGATACTCGCAGCATCAATTGCTGTGTGGGCCTCTGTCTGACGCCCGGGAAGCTACAGAAGCAGCGAAGCACCATCATCAAGAACACCTGGCACCCCATCTTCAATGAGGACTTTTTCTTTGATGGTCTGTGCCCCTCTAGTGCCCGCAAGCTGGCTCTCAAGCTCAAAGTAGTGAACAAGGGAGGCAGTCTAAAGAGGGATACCCTGCTGGGTGAGAAGGAGGTGCCCCTCACGGCCCTGCTGCCTTTCTTGTGAAGGCTCTCCCCAGCCCGGCCCCCCCATCGCAGAGGAGGGGGTGGGGAACCCCTCTCTGACCCATTCCTGCCCTAGGTGCTCCTCTCGGTTCCTTCCACATTTCTGCCCCACCTGCCCCACCTGCCACCCAGGGAATGTGGGGAAACTCCAAACCCACAGCACTGAGAGGTGGCATGCCCAGGGTGAGGGGTCCCAGGAGGGATTAGGAGTGAGGGACAAAAATGGCCCTCACATGGGGCCCTGGCTCACACCCAGACACCTGGCTGTGCTTCAGTCCCAGGTCACTACAAGAAACCAGAGTGTCATTTTCACTAGTGGGGGTGGGAGGAGGGAGGGGGCTGAGACGACAACACTAGCAGTGGTGAGAGCCCTGGATTTGGCGTCAGGATAGTTTGGCCTCAGATCCCAGCTTTGCCACTTGCTCACTAGGAGACCTTGAGCAAGTCTCTTCTCTCTGGCCTCGGTTTACTCCTCTGTAAAATGAAAATGTTGGACTAGATAATTTCCAAGATCTGCTCCAGATCTGAATCCCATGACCTGGATCTTCTGGTCCAGGGGTCTCGCCTCCCTCTAGCTGGGGAAGGAGACTTGTTGATATATGGGGAGGACACAAGCAGGCAAGAAAAAGACTGGGCTGTTCCCAGTGGGGAGAAGAGGGGGTAACCTCTCATTCCTCTGCCCTCCTCTATAATCCTAAGACTGTACCTTCCTCCCACATTCCCTTTCTGCATAGTTCTAAACTGGCTTGATGAAGATTTGCTGGAATTTGGGGAACCAAGTCAGGGAGGAAGGGGTCTGGGGAACTTCCAGGGGGCTAGGGGGCTAATGGAAGGTCCTTGGGGCTGTATAGGAAGAGTCAACCTCAAAGGGCAGGGGATGAGATTCTTTCAAGGGCTGTCGAGGGCCTGGCTCCTGCTTGCCCCCGACTCTGCTTTCCCAGGAGCACCCAGCTGACTACTCCAAATCGGGTGGGAAGACTGCCATCTCCCGAAGCCAATCATGGCTCTACTCCCTGCCCTAGGGGATAATGATTAAAGGGATGACCTCTGGGAATGATCAAAAGCAAAGGTGGGGTTCTAGAGCCAAGAGAAGTCTTAGAATTAGTGGGACAATCTAGTCCAACTCCCTTGGTTCTACAGATGATGAAACTGCAGCTCAAAGAGAATGAGTCTCCTGAGGTCACACAAGAAGAGAGTGTCAGGCTCAGGGCCAGAACACTGGGTTCTAGAGGGGGCTGCTCTCACTCCAGCACACTCTAGTGCTGAGCTCAGCCTGGAAAAAGCCCTGGAAAGAAAAGATTACAGGATTGTTTCCACCTCATCCCCTGGGGGATGGAGACAACCAGCATGTCTGCCTGTTTCTGCTCCAATACCCCCACTCTTGACAGTCTGCCCTCCCTCTCCTCTTTTGGCCAGAGGGGTGCTTTGTCAGTATTTAAACCCTCTGCCCCCCAGCCAGGGAGCCTTTCAGTCCCAGGCACTCCTGGCCAGCCTCCTCCCCTCCTATTATTTCCTACTCCATGCTATCAGTATCCTCTGTCCCTTGTCTCCCTGCATGAATCCTGGCTTCTGCCTGAGAGAGTGCCATGGGGCCCCCGACTGTGCCTGGCTTCTAGGGCCCATGCTTGGCTCCCCATCCTCTTGGACACAGCAGATGGCAGCCATAGGCCTTGCTGTGCGCAGCTATTTATACTTGGAGAGTGATTGACATATACCCGTGTTTTATTCTGCGTGTGTAAATGTGTTTTGGATACAGTCCGAGTGGGTACAGTGATTCTTCATGTTTTTTTAATTTTTTTTTTGGTAGTTCTGTCACCTTTAGGAAGTCTTGGCTGGTCCCTGAGGGCAGGCAGAGGGAATTCCCAGCTCAGTCAAAGACTGGAGGCAGCGTGGGATGGTTGCCAACATAATTCAAGTCCCGTTCTGGGATGGGGACCTGGCACTCCTTTTTGGCACCCCATTTGGATGGCTGGCCAACAATCCCCAGAGCTCTCCACTGGGGCCTGAGCGCAAGGCATCCCTTTCACCCGGACTCCATGGGCTGGGGATGAGGACTAGCAAACCATTGCTCCTTACTTGATGGGCAAGACTGGCCAATCCATCTCCTCCACAATTGGCCTCTGCCTCCATTTCCTGGCTGGGGAAAAGCTTAGGGCACCTGAGCCAGAAGGAATCTGACCATTGACTCTAGCCAGATCATTTTAGTGATAGGGAAACTGAGGCCAAAAGGGGCAAAGTGATTTGCCAAAGATACGCATGGTGATTCTGGCAGCAGAGGAGAGCCTGGGCTTCCTGACTCTTGGTCCAGGGCCACCTGTTGTGTGATTGGGATTAGTAACTGACCTAATCCTTCCAGTGGCTGGGGATGTGGGGAGGACTGAGGCCAGGGTGAAAAATCTGAACAGAAGGTCTGAGCTTAGCGCCTCCAGGGGATCCATTCCTTTACTCCATTCCCCAAACAGAGAAGTTGGTAAAAATGGGCGCTCAAAGGGTGCCTTGCCTGACCCTGCCGGTGCTTGGAAATCAACACCTCCTCATCCCAGTGGAGACCCTGGGTCTCTAGGTTCCTTCCACCCCCTCCACTCCTCAATGAGCCTGTCTTCTGCTGGCACCTGCCAAGTGGGCAAAAAACATCTCGACCCTCTTTATCTCTTGCAGTTCTGTTTTGGTGTTTCGACTTTCCTAATAACTTTTAAAGTGAACCCTATTTGCCCGCCTATGAGTGTGTGTGTATGTGTGTTTATAAATGCGTTTTTAGTGCAATAAAGATATTTCCAAAACAACTGGATTGCTGTGGCTGTTTCCCTGAGCCAGGAGGGAGGGATGTATTGGATCTGGGATCCTTCTCCCCTCCCCCCCTCCATCATCATCCCCTTTTCTCACACTGTTCATCTTCTCAGACTCTCTGAGAATCAAAGCAGAAAGGGACCTTAGTACTCAGACTGTCAGAGCTGGAAGGGCTCTTAACAGACCAAACCTTTCATTTGTTATCCAAGGAAAATGAGGGCCTGCCTGCATGGGGTTCTGACCCTGGCTTCTAGGAAGGGCCATGGACTCCATGGCTGTCTTGGAAGATTGGATCTTCTGGAGCTGCGTTGGAGGATCTTTACATGTCACACCCGAGGGTTGCCTGAAGGCTGGTCAGGTTTCTCCCCCTCCAGCCAAATTATCTAAGCTGTCAGGTCATCCCTCTACCCACTGGGATGTACTGCAGATTCTGTACAGAGGCTGATCAGAGAGTGGTCAAGAAACAGGGTGGGGCCTGCACGGCCCACTCTATGCTGCTTACTAAGGGAACACAAAGGAAAAACAAAAAGTCCCTTCTCTCAAACAGCTTGTGGTCTAACAGAAGCAATGAGATATGGATAGAGCAATACATACACACCAAATGAGTGAGTACAAGGTAGTTTGGGGAGGGAGGTCACCAGCAGGCTTGGAGTGGGGTTGGGAGCCAGGGAAGGCTTCATGGAGAAGGAGGAGTTTGAGCTGAATCTTTAAGGAAGGCACAGATTTCAATGAGCCGAGCTGAGGTGAATGCTTCTCAGATCCCAAGGACCCAGCTCAGAGGAAATATTGGCAAGCTGCCCCTGAGAGTCTCCTGGCCCACCAACCACTCCCCCATCCCCAGCCTTCCCTGGGTCACAGGAAGATGTGTCTGCAACCCGTCCAGCCTCAGAAGATTCTGGGAACAAACATGAGAATTCTAGCTCCTGAGGCACCCTCCCTCCTGCATCCTTCACCTTCCTCCAGCTTTGGCACCTCTTCTCTAAGCCCCTCCCCATCCTCAGGAGCTGGAGTTAGAGAAAAGAATGGTCATTTGCCAGGGAAGTTTGGAGGCTTAAAGTACCAGTCAGTGGTAGGGTGGGTCAGAGGCCAAAGTTCCACCATGTTCTGGAAAGACTGGTGAGATTTGGTTTCTACCTACTAGCTTTCCCAGCTTTCATCTTCAAAGCACTTGACTCCCTCCCTGATCCCAGATGGGAAGAATGCCAGTAGCTGAAGCATCTCGGAAGTTACCAAAGGCGACCTCCTCCACTGAGGGGCAGATGGGGAAAGCCCCTTGAGGCCGATTATGTCGGAGGCACTGACCACAGAGGGTCAAACATCACAGCAGCAGTGGAGTTCAACCCTTTCTCTTCATGGATGGGGGAAACAGACCCAGAGAGGGCCCAGATGCCTCACAATCAGTTGTAGAACAGGGGCTTAGAAACCAAGCCTTCTGGCTGCCAGTCCTGGAATTCTATCCATCCATCGCTGCTGTCTCCTGTTCATTATTTTAACAGCTCTGAGGACTCCAGGTGATCCCGTTCCTGATCCCTTCCTCACCCACCGCCTTCCCAGACTTTGACCCTAGGGTGATAGGTTATGAAGACTGGAAATTCACTAAGGGCAGGTTCCAAGTTTCCCACCTCAGACCAGGGGCTACCTGAGGTCAGAGGTGGTATCTCAGGCAACTTCTGGAGTTCAGAAGCTGTGTTTCCCTTCCTGAGATGGAAAGTTCCCTGAGGGTAAGTCTACCCCTTAGATGAGGGACTCCCTGAGGACAGGGACTAGGGGATAGCTTCCTTCAGTGCTAGATGTGGAATTCTCCCAGGTCCTAAATTCTGGCTTTTTTCATCAGGGAGGGAAAACAAACAGCCCCTTCTTCTTCCTTTTTCCAGGACAGATAATATACAGGAGCCACGAACCACAGTCTTCCTATCAGATGCCAGGATGTGTTGCTAGGCAACAGGGCAACTTCTCGCCTCTTCCCCTGACCAGCCATGATTGCATTTCCTGGTGTGTCTGTGTATTTGACCAGGTGTACGTCAATTCTGCCACTGTTAATATACTCCCAGACAAGGCCAGAGATTGAAGATCTTGGGAGAGGTTGGGGAGTAGGGCAGAAGATGAGGCCCATAAGTATGATGGTCCAACAATTCAAAATGGCTGCCCACCAGCTTTTCCCTCTGCCATTTTGAGATCCTCAGGGTTTGAACCTCTGGGTTCATTCCTTTGCCTTTTAGAACATCCAGGGAGCCTCAGCCCTAAAGGGGAGACAGATTTCTTTTCATGGGAGCGCTCATTATAGATTTGAGAGGGAGGGAGGGGTATCTTCCACTGTGGGGAGAAAAGAGGTTTGTAAAGACACATGTGTGCCCATGGAAGGGTTGGTGTGATAGCTGCTGTGTGTGTGTGTGTGTGTGTGTGTGTGTGTATGTGTGTGTGTGTATTCTTCTCAGCCTGTTTTTTATTGAGCTTGATTCTATTTGGTC